TATCTGGCTCCTTGCAGCTTCTTGGCTTGCGCTGCTATATAGCTTTTGTATTATAGACGGAAGCTATTATCTTTCTTTGTCTATTAGACGGTCGCATCTCTACTCCACCTGGCGAACTCTTTGTCACAGTTTAGTGTACTGCGTCTGGGATGGGCCTCGCGGAGGCGGCTCGCTCGGGATATTCAGGTGGAGGAGGTATAGGCTTGCATGATTCCTTATCTTTTGCTGTGTTATGTCTTCGTTTGTTGTATTATGTCTGTATGTATGTATGTGTGTATCCTGTCTGTATATGTCTGTATGCTATGTTATGTCTTATTATGTCTTCGCAGCTATCGATGGGTTTGTAAGTCGTCGTACTCTCTTTCTTGGATAGCTGCGGTAGTTCCAGGTAGGCTGTTCAGTCTACGCTGATTACGCCATCATCGTCCGTCTGCATCGACTGAGGTACGGGTACCTTACCGTAGTCAGTGGCACATTTCGCGTTTGCCACTGCTCTAATTTGTGCTTCGCAATATTGCGAGCCCGCTCGATGGCCACTGCGTCTTCCCGCCCGGTGGCAGTTAGCGCATTTTAGCGTGCTGCTTTGGCAGTTTGTTGTGTCGTGCTGCCCAGCGCAGTTTCCGCAAATCGGATCCTTTTTCGGGCACGCCGCGGCCACGTGTCCGTACGCCTGGCAGTTGTAGCATCGTGTCACTCCCTGATATTCCTTCACCGCGCAGGTCTGGTAATCCAAGTTGACCCGACCTCGGCTGAGAGCTGCTTTCCAGGTTGGCGGGTCTACCTCTACCACCCACGAGACGAACTGGGAATCTTTCCTGCTGGCTCCTCCATAACGTAACGTGTAGAGGGGCCGAATTGCATCCTTGGTCCAGCCTGGGTTGTTGTCCGCTAGCTGGGCTGTCAGCTCCTCCGGTTTGTCTTCCTTTGGTACCCGAAGTATCAGAAGTCTCGGGTTTCTTTTCCCAACCGTATGAGCCTTAAGGCCGACTTGGTCGAACTTGAGTCTATCTAAGATGGCTCGGCAGTCGGCGCTCGTCGCAGCTCTTATTGCGACGCCGCCCTTGGCAGTCACTCTCATATCATCAATTCTGACCTTCGTCTCCCTTGGGTTGATGGTCTGCTTGGTACGTTTCAGTACCTCAGCCTGGTCCATCTCACTGGTAGGGTCGACGAAGATCAATCTCTCGCGCTCTTCAGCCACCTTCTTCACATTCTTGTCCAAGAGGCTTTTATAGTCCTGTGGAGGCGCCTTAGGCCCTCCTCTTTTCTTCACTACTTGTGCCCAAGTTCCTTCAGCTGCCTCGTGGGTGGCTGAGGATTGGGCTTTTTCTGTTCTGTTATCTACATCTCGCCTGGGGTTGACTGCCCTTCTCGCTTTTGGGCGTGTTTTGGCGGTGTCCTTCTTATTCAGCTCGTCAACGCAATTGTTAAGCTCGCTGACTACGTTCTTAATCGGGGAGAAACCTTTCGTCGGGGCGTGTCTCAGTTCCTCGGCGATGTTTTGTATAGCTGGCACGAGTGCCTCAATTACGACATCAGCCGTATTTCGGGCGTCACCTGTCCTGGCCTGCGCAGCAGCCAGCTCAGCACTTAGGCTGGCGTTTTTGTGTAGAGCTCGGGCCAGCATACCGGCCAGTTTGTCCGCAGCCGCCATTATGACCTTACTGGCCGGCTTAGGGCATTTATTGGCTGGCTCCATCAAGTATTGGGCGAGTTGCCCTATGACGTTGTTGGCCTCGATAATTGATGCCGTGCAGGATAATTCTCCTTCGCTGTCCGAAGATTCAGCTTTTCTTATCCTATTCCTTCTTGTGGTTTTGTCTATCGCACTGCAAGCGCTTTCGCTCGCTGATGCGTCGCATTCAGAAGTGTCGGTTGGAAAGGCTTGGGTGTGTGCGCTTTCAGCCGATGTGGACGGGGTCACTTGCATCGACAGAGGCGCACGCGAGATTTGGGCTGAAGTGGACGGGGCCCCTTGGGTCGGCGGGGGCATAGGCGCGAGCTGCGCCAATGCGGGTGGGGCCACCTGCGTCAGCGGGGGCGTTCGTGCAAGTTTCGCCCTTCTCTCGAAGGGGTCCTCTTGCCTGGTAGACAGATCGTCTATAGATCTGCTTCTAGTGGCCATCGTAGGGGGAGGAGGCCGTTTTGTCTGGCCACCCTTAGAGGGGCTCTTCTCTTTGGGCATTAGTTTCCTAAACATCTCTACTTAATCAAAGATGTGTCGGAGCGCCGAGAAAAGGCAATCCCGCACGACTGGAGTGTTATGCGGGACTGGAATGGGCAAAGTGCTGTTTTGCCCCTTCAATCGAGAGGGTAGGCAAACCCGCAATACAGGGGTGTAATGCGGGTTTAGTATACCCTCTACCCGTGTCCGAAGTTTCAAGTCCCTAAAGGCCTTGGCACACAGAACGCGATCTGTCGCGGCGGGCAGCGATCCCGCGATCTCCTTGGCGATCGGCGATACAGCTATGCCACATGCAATGCGATATCTGTGTGAGCGAGCCAGTATTGTAGAACAAGTTCGCAGTAAGGTTCTCTAAAATGTATATACTACAATACTACTACTATACATTACTAAAATGTAATGAGTAGTTCTGACGAAGAGGAATTCTTGCTTCTTTTCGCGTTTGTACAGAGTACCAGCACAAGAAGACGATTTTGGGTGCACCCAATAAATCAAAGGAGAGAAGAACTTGGTGAATACCACCGTCTCTGTCGTGAACTACATTCTCATGAAGACAGGTTTTTTTCATATTTTCGCATGTCGAGGCAAAGTTTTGAGGAGCTACATGAAGTACTGCGACCCAGGATTGAGAGGATCACTACGAATTGGAGAAGACCTATTGAAACAAGAGAAAGATTAGCCGTAACTTTGAGGTAAGTTTAACAAAAAATATCTACTCGTATCTATGTAGTTCAAACGAATTTATTTATTTCAATTTGACCGATTATAAATTACAAATATGTAATGGAATTATTTTTTTCTAATTTAACTGAAAATGGGACCCATAAGTTTCATATAATTCACGAGCATTTCCAAACGAAGAATTGGCTGAAGAAGAGGGAATGGAGTTCAAGCTCTGGTAAGTAGGGGACGTATCGCCTGACGCAAATGCCGTTGATGAGGAATGTGAAGAGTCCGGGTGAAGTGGTGACTGGGGTGTGGACAGCACAGGCCTTTGAGAGTGTGCTTCAAGCTCTCTCATTTCGGTTCGTGCAAAAAGTGTAGCCAATTCCATTTTCAACATTGCCTGAGTAGCAGGCTGGAATGTTCTGAACGTGTCAGCATAACTAAGAAATAAATGGTCTATGCCATCGTACTCACGTTTAGCAGCCTTGTTATTAAGATAATTAATCACTTTGTCAACCTCTGTAATGTGGGACGTGTCTTTGGCTGTAGGTGCAGCTTTTCGTTTTTGCGATAATGGAGGAGGCATGTTTGGAGAAACTGGAGTTTTTTGTATTTTGTTTTCCTCACTTACACGTTCAAGATCTTCATGTTCCTTATCTTCGATTTCAGCAGTTTGTATATTGCTGGTTGCGGGACGCATTTGAAGTGTTTCATCCAAAAATTGCATATATTCACTCCATGGCCATTTCTGATACTTTTTGGCCTGTCCCGTTTTACCTATTACGCTTTTCTTAAATCTCAGATAACAATCTCGTAAATTTTTCCATTTCCCCTTAGCTGCATCACCTGAAAAAAATAAAAAAATGATTTACATATACATAATAATGGTTCAGAAGTAGTTTTGTGTTGTAGGTACAAAAAAATTTAACTAAAATAATAGAACTAAAAAAGCGGATGAATGAATGTTGCTGAATACTCAATTGTACAATTGTAATTTGATCTATCTATCTATCTATCTTTTCAGGTATCTGGCAACAGGCGACAGTCACCAGACAATCGCTTTTTCGTTTCGTCTGGGACGTTCAACTGTTTCCAAAATTGTGAGAGAAGTCTGTCGAGAAATATGGAATGCTTTACAGCCAATTTATTTGCCTGCTCCCACAACGCAACTGTGGAAAAAAGCAGAGGAAGGTTTTTCATCTTTATGGGGTTTTCCAAACTGTATTGGAAGCATAGATGGAAAACACATAAAATTAAAATGTCCCAAGAAGAGTGGATCCAAGTTCTTTTGTTACAAAAATCATTTTTCACAAGTTCTTCTGGCGGTAGTAGACCCACTCTACAAGTTTATGGTAGTTGATGTTGGAAGTTACGGGCGACATAGTGACAGTGCTATTTTTGAGAATTCAGCTTTCTACCGGCAGTACATTTATGAAAAAACAATTCTCTCCCCAAAACCACTTCCTGGTACAGATACCCCAGTTCCTCACGTTATTGTTGGTGATGAAGGGTTTGCACTACAACCTTACCTAATGAGACCGTATCCCAAAGCCACTATGATCTCCGATTCAAGAAAAAAAATTTTCAATGCACTGCTCAGTCGAGCACGTCGTGTAGTTGAAAATGCGTTTGGTATATTGGCTATGAAATGGCGAGTATTTTTAAGACCAATCGAAACAGATGAATCAACTGCAGAATGGATAGTTAAAGCAGCTTGCTGTTTGCATAACTACATTATGATAAAGAATGATGGAGAACAACATTCAAGTAATGAGGAAATGGAAGAAGTCTCAGGGCCTATGAAAGCTTTGGAACGAACATTGCCTACCAATCGAAGATCAACAGCTACAGCAATTCAAATCCGTGAACAGTTTGCTGATTATTTTGCTGCTCGATAATAAATTATTTTTATATTTAAATTAGGTAACACAGTAATGTATTTTAACAAACTGTTGAAACACCATTGTTTTGAAGTGTAGAAAAGAAGATATTTGTACTTACTAGTTATATTCAGCTCTTGTCCAATCATGGCCCATGTTTCTGCCTTTTTCACGACATTTTTGTAGTGGTGGTGTGATGTGTCGTACAAATACACGTATTTTCTCACTTTTTCTATGAAAATTTCAGTTATTTCATCTCCCATCTTGAAACTGGATCGCCGGATCGCGTAATGTTTTTTGTAATTTTGCACAGGTATATCGCCTGTCGCCGCGATCAAGACTGGATCGCTGTGATAGGTCGCCCTGTGTGTGACAGGGATGATGCAATATTTCATCATACAACCATATCGCCGGATCGCGGCGGTCAGTGATCGCTGCCCGCCGCGACAGATGGCGTTCTGTGTGCCAAGGCCTTAAGTCCTTCCGTTATCAAGTTACAGGATGTCAAGTGTCTTAGGAGTAATGAGGGTCTGAAGTAAGAATATATGTGGGGGGCCCTTCGGGGAAATTCAGTCGGGGAGACGAGTCAGTGGGAATTTCCCTCGAGTGGGAAGTGGGGCGAGGTAGGTTGGCCGGCCTGGCGGCGTCTGTGCCCCCGGCCTAGAAAAGTTACGGGGGGTTCTCAAGGCCACGGCCACGTGCTCCGAGCGTATCTGAAAATATAATGTAATTACTCAATACCTTGACAGATTTTGACGTCCGATGGCTCGTTTAAAAGCTGGCGCAATTCCCGATCCAATGGTAATATCCGCTGGACGGTAGGTTTGCTGCAACAGGTTCAATCAAGCTTCGGTGTCGGAGCGTTCCTCAAACACGTCTGCACTGGTTGAAGTCTCAGTCGCAACTCACAGGTTAACTAACCGTCTTAGCCCTATTTGTTGTACTGTTCCTAAGCCGTTGCCGGCTCTTTACAGTATTTTAGGCTTTGCTTCTGTATTGCTTTTTTATTAACGACGGAAGCGTGCGAACTTGGGGGTCAGAGAGAATGTGTCAAAAAAAAAAAAAAAAAAAAAATTTCCCGTCCCACCACCACGGGTCCGCCCGGGACACTGTTCCTAAGCCGTTAATCGGCTCTCTACAGCGCCCAAGCGGTCGGTGCGGCAGAACAAGGGAAAAAAAAATTATTTAAAAATGAAATAAAATAAATAAAATAATTAAATTTAACTAATAAAAAACAATCATAATAATTATAGGCACATTCCTCTCCCCTCTCCTGTTCTTTCTGTACTCTTATCGTTTTGTTGTCTTCTTTGACAAACGGTCGCATCTCCATTCCACCTGCCGAGCTCTTCGTCACTATCAGTAGTGTCCGGGATGGGCCTCGCGGAGGCGGCTCGTAGGGATTTCAGGTGGAGGAGGCATCGTAGTCTCCGTTACTTACAGATGTTTTATTCATTTCCTTGGCTGGCGTCATTTGTGAAGTCACACGCAGTAGTACTGACACTCGCACGCGCGAAAACACTCCGACACTCACGCATATAATACTAAATAAATGAATTCATATTATAAAATTACATTATAAGTATATTATTTATACCTAATGTAAAAAAAAAAAAAAAAAAAAAAAACCACAACACTACGACGACGCTGGGTTATCTGCTTCCACTTGAATGGAAGGTGTGATGTTCGCTGGCTGCTTCTCTGCGCTGGCTCGATCCGTGCTAGGAGGGCTCTTACCATCTTCGTCGCCATAATCCGTGGTGCTCCTTGCCCTTGCTACTGCCCAGGCGTGGGTCTCGCACTGCCTGCTCCCGACTTGATGGGCACTGTTTCGACCCACGCGGTGGCAATTAGCACATTTTATCTGCTCGCTTTCGCATTTTCTAGTGTCATGGGGGCCCGCGCACACTCCGCAGACCGAGTCCTTCTTAGGGCACACGTGTGCTACATGGCCATAATTTTGGCAGTTATAGCAACGTGTGATACCAATGTAGTCTTTGACCACGCAGGAGCGATAGTCTAAGTAGGCCTTACCCTTTACTGTGGCGGCCTTCCAAATAGTCGGGTCCACTTCTATGACCCATGACACATGCGATGATTTTGCTCTTGAGGCAGGGCCGTACCTGAGGGTGTATAGAGGTCTGATTTTTTCTTTTACCCATACATCAGGGGGGCCATTGTTGGCCGACAGCTGTTCCGTCAGTTCACTCGGTGTGAACTCTTTTGGGACACGCAGCAAGTGGATTCTTGGATTTCTCTTGCCTGTTGTTCTTAGAGAAAGGCCCACCCTTCCGAAGGCAGCGTTGTTAAGCATCGCGCGCTTGTCTTCTTCTGACTCCACTCTTACGGCGAGTCCTCCTTTTGCTGTGGGTCGCATGTCCTCGACGCGGAGACCGGTCTCCCTCGGGTTCATTACTCCCTTAGCTCTTACGAGGAGTTCTTGGAGGCTCATTTCTTCTTGTGGGTCTATGAATATTATTTTCCCTTGGACATCAGCCGTTTCTTTAGCCTTATTTACGAAGGAGGGCTTGCCTTTGGCCTCGTTTCGTCCGTCTCTGGATCTTACTGGCTCTTTCCTTCGTGGCTTGGTTTTCTTAACGACTGTAGACCATTGTTCTGTTGTCTTGCTGCCAGGCCCTTCACTCTCCTGCTGGCTGGTCTCTTCTGCCTCGCTATGTTGCTCGTTCCTAGAGTCAACGGCAGGCTTTTTTCTTCCTTTGTTTTTCTTGAGTGCACGTGCAAGCTGAGGGATGGTGTCATACTTTTTAATTTGGCTGACGCACCTCTGCAGTTCTCCAACCACATTCTTTAACGGGGAAAGACCCGTTTTTGGTGTTTTCTTGATTTCTTCAGCGATATTTTTCATTGCAGGGACTAGCGCTGCAACAACTGCTTCAGCAGTGTCAAGGGCGTCTCGCGGGCTATCGCCTCTCCTTCCGCTGTTGCGGCCCTTGAGGTATGCATTTTCGCTGGCCAATCTTTGAAGCATAGATACTAGCTTATCGGTTTGATCGATAACGTAGGCAGCCGCAGGCTTGGGGCATTTATTCGTAGCGTTAATCATGTATTGGGCGATGTTACTTCTTATTTTGTTGGCCTCTGTAATGTCTTCAACGTGTTCTTTGGTTTGAACATCTTTGTTGCCAGTCTCATCACGATTCACTTGACGTACTCGTTTCTTCCTAGTTACGGTCGAAGTTTCTTTCTCTGTTCCAGAGCTATCGCAGGCGGACTCCCAGATCTCAGTTGGAGCGCAGGATGTCATCGAGGCACGTGAATAGGATAGCCGACGCATATAGGACGGGCGTTCAATGTTCAATGGGCCTTCGGTGTTATTTAAATTATTTCCCGATGTTATTAATTGTCCTTCTTCTTGTTCTTCTAGTTCTTCTTGTTGTTTTTTGCTTTTTGGTTCCATACTATTCCCACGAGGCGAGGGTTGTCTAACTGTCACCAACAGGCTTACCCACAACCCGCTGGAAGGCTGCTTACTCAGGAGTGGCGCCAGGTGCTCCTGAGGCTCCGTTTACGACTCGACTTCCCACGAGTCATGCATCCATCGGCACGGGTCGCTTGACACCTTGGATTGGGGATTGTGTTAGGGTTTTCTCCCATAGCCCATGTGTCCTCGATATAGCGCCAGGAATTCGCTTTTTGCCCACCTCCGTTAGCCATCCCGAAGGACGTTAACTAGGAGCCACCACGAAGAGGTGGAGGTTGGACTTGGGGTCTTATCATTTCTGACTGCGGGCATTTCTCAACATTTCACGTGGGTGTTGCTTGGGCAGCAACCTCCACATTGAGACCCAGGACCCCCATTTGGCCCCCAGGTTAACTAACCACAACCCGCCGGAAGGCTAAATACTCAGGGGGTCGCCAGGTGCCCCTGAGGCTCGGCTCCTATATTTAACCTTTCCCCCACCTCCCGCGTGAGCGAGATGTGCTCTTCTTCCATGCGTGCTAGCTCTTCCCCTCGGTAGTTTAGACGATGACTCGACTCCCCTCGAGCCATGCATCCATAGCACGGGTCGCACAACACCGTGGATTGGGGTTTTCTGTTAGGGTTCATTTCAGACTGCGTGCGATTCTCAGCATTTTGAGCGGGGGTTGGTTAGACAGCCAGCCCCCACGCCGAGGCCTAGGACCCCCATTTGACCCCCTAAGGGTACCCGTCATAATTTCCCTTTGCATTTTAGTCAGTCGAGAGATGAAAGACCTTTCATCCGTAGTTCTAATATATTTAACCTTTCCCCCACCTCCCGCTGAGCGAGAGGTGCTCTTCTTCCATGCGTGCTAGCTCTTCCCCTCGGTAGTTTAGACGATCTACCAGCCTGTTTTGCCTCTGTATGTCGTCTTCCGTAGCTGTTCCAAACAGTAGCTTGAGTAGTTTCCCGTCTACGAGGCCCCGCCGATGACGATTGTCCACAATTAATCAGCCAGATCATCAGTTATGCCCATTGACTCGTCGAAAAGGCTGTTCACCATGTGCATCTCTTATGTGGAAGAATGACGCGTCTCTTCATCGGCGATGAACGTCAATGATTGCACTTGTCGCCAGTGATTGACCGATTCCAGGGTTGCTTTTAGGTCCATATCCACCTCCAGGGTCCACGTGTCTCCCGTAAAAACTGTGAGCTCCCGTGGAAGGAATACCATCCCGTTGGTTTTTTTGACCTCGATCCGCTGGACGCCAGAACTCGGGACCTCTGAAACAACATATGAAGGTGGTTTACTCTATTCTACGGGACCGTAGAAAATAGGGGCTACGGGATGGCGTACTTCTCGCTGGGGAAGACGAAGAGGATGGCAGGTCTGTGGACGATGGGGTCCGCTCGGTTCCCCATTACTGGTGAAGAACTTGTTTCTGGACTCGGTGAGTGGGCTGATGACGACGAGTTATGTCGGGATAATTCCTGATTGTTACCCTCGTCGTCGTCTTCCCACGATTCGGGGTAATTGAGCGTTTCTGCTGTCAAATCTGTCCCCTCCTCGGACGGCGTTTCTGCCCCAATTGACTTTAGTTTGTTGTTGGTTCTCCACTGCTTGGTCATCCGTAATTACTTCCCCCATTTGATGGTTTTTGAGACGGTCGACATGGATGACTTTCCTCTGCCCCCCGCCTAGATCGACGAGGGAAGTAACCTATGTAATTTGACGAACGATGTGGAAGGGGCCCCGCTATGGTTTGTGAAACTTCTTAGCTTCTCCCGGGCGAACTGCAGGCTCCGATACGTAAATTAGCTGTCCCGGAAGGAATTTCCGTACTGGTTTAATGATGGCAGCTTTACTCTCATCCACCTGTGGGTCCGCAGCCTCATCGCTATTAGTTTTTGCTACCTCTTATGCACGGTGCAGGTTCGCCTTAGGTGTCTCCATATATTCTTCGTAGCCCGTAGGAGCAGGCCTATCTTGAGGCTGGAGATTGACTCCGAAGGAGAGTGTCGGTGTCCGCCCTTACAGCATTGTGAACTCCGTGGCTAAGTGGGCTGTCGCGTTGTACGAGAAGACGGCGAAGGCCAGCCACCTATCCCAATCTTGCACGTAGGGCATAAGTTTATCTGATGGTACGCGTTTTTTAGGTCGATAGTGCTGAAGTATGTGTAGCTTGCTATTTTCGTAATGAGATCATCGATATGCGGTAAAGGATAGGCATCTAAAAACGTGAATTTGTTGATTGTTTGTGACCGCCACATCACACCAATTTTATTTCGAACTGTTCCCTCTGACTGCTCCGCGTCTACTGACCCCTATTGTTGCCGTTCACCCGAGGCCGGGTTGCTGACAGAGCACCTAGGTCCCCCTTTTTGCCGACACTGTTTCTTATTATCCTAGTTACAAATATTAATCTATTTAAAACAATATTTGATTCATTTTATTTTATAAATCTTCCCCTCACCGCTTACAATAGTCTGCAATTCTGAGGTTCACTGTGACATATCCTGCAGTGTTGGTATGAAGAGATGTTGAGGCCATAGACACTCGCTCCTCACTGGGCACGATGCTAATGTAAGTTTCAGTTCATAATCCAAACTAATGAAGCTCCCTGAACTTCCGGTGTCTACTAGGCATTGAGCAGAGATACCATTCATCATAGCCATCGTGATAGCACGGCTCAACTGGTGCAAAAACTTCCCATTCAAAGAAGCGATGATAGCTGCGGAGACAGTCTTTGATTTAGGTTCCCTTGTAGGTTTTCGACATACTCTTGCATAGTGGCCACGAGTCCCACAGTTATTACATTATACATCTTTCTTACATTATACATCTTTCGCAGAGCAAAAAAGCGAAGATGTCGATTTTGCCCACAGAAGTAACATCTAGTCCTTTCGGTTTGGACGGTTGCGCATACGTCTTTGATTTTGTCTGAAAAACTCTTACGATCAGTCGCGGGTGGTTCCGCCTCCAAACCCGCTCATGTGTTCTGACTCCGGGAGTATTCCTCAACCTGCATAAGCGCCATCTCGAGAGACACCGCTCGCCGCACCGCCTCGTCTAGACTTAAGGTACGTTTCCACTGCCCGCGAAGCGATGCGATGCGAAGCGAAGAGAATGACGGCGCGAAGTTCCAAGCGATGCGATGCGATGATGTGTTTATACTGCTAGCGATTTTACGGAAGAAGCGGGCAGTAGAGTTTGAGTTCAGAGCGAGACACCCAATGTCGTTCCAATTGAACCCCGTAAATTTGTTTTTATTGGAGAACAGTGCAGTAATTAGAAGAAGAATTAAAAGAAGACGTAGTAAGTGGGTGCATGAAATCAATCAGGTTAGATCTACGTTAGGAGAATATCACCATTTGTACCGTCACCTGCGAGAGGATGAAGAGCGGTTTTGCAGCTACTTCAGAATGAGTCCAAGTACTTTCGACTACATTCTATCCCAAATTTCAACTGCAATACAGAAGCAAGACACCAATTTCAGGATGGCCATACCGGCAGAAGAAAAACTTATGGTCACAATTAGGTGAGTAAAAAAATGTAATTATAAAAGTTGTACCAATATATTTTTAATTTATATTCACTTCACTTTCCTGTGGAGTGTAGTCGGTAATACGTCAATTTTAAAAAAAATTCTACTTTTTTATTCGTAAATAAAAGGAATAACAAGTTGTGAAAAAAAAGGATTAAAAAACGTAGTTTTTTTTTTTAAATTGTGTTTTTATTAAAAATGTATTTTTAATATTAATATTAATATTTTTAAATTAAAAATGTATTTTTAAAAGCGGAATTTACAAAAAAATGAAGGCAAGTTCGTTAATTTTGTTACATTTTAGGTATGTACATATAGAATTTTCAAGTACTAGTAACATGTTGTACAAAAAAATACAAAAAACTTTTTCAACACAAAAAAAAAACACTTTACCTTAACTGTATGAAGTCCGGAGAGAAGGCAGACTGGGAAGACCTTGGCTCTTCATTTACCGAGAAGGAAGAGAAATATGAAGCCATGCTGGTTTGATCATGTATTTCTTTGAGGAGAACTTCTTGCATTTTAATTCTTGTTCTCAGTTGAGCTTCGGGTGAAAGTTTTCGCATCATGGGCAGTAAACTCATAACGAAATGATAATTGTCGTCATGGTTTTCAGCACTAGAAATTTGTCTTTCAATTAGCTTCAACTTTTCCTTTTCGATGTTGAGTAGTTCCAAATCATTAACTTTCCTCTGTTTCTTCAGTGGTCTTTCTGTGGGTGGAGGCATTGAACCATGGAGTTCTGAAGTGTCTGACGAAGAATTACCACTCTGTATGTTGTCAGTGTCAATGCCAGGTCCGGATGGGCAGCGACCTGGATCAATTGAGACAACAGAGGAGTCATCAGATTCTTCACATTCCACCTCATGTTCTTGTGACAAATTTGATAACATCCTCCGCGGAGTCATAATGTCTTTTAAGAAACTCATTGCTTCAAACCATGGCCACGTTGGCTGATAAACGGAGTCACCCTTGTCTCCAGAACGTTGTTTATTACATTTTTTCAACTCATTTCGGAAAGTATCACGAAGGTTCTTCCACTTTGCCTTTACTTGATCACCTAAAGAAGAAAAAAAGCTGTATTGTTAGGTACTTAGTTAACCAACCATTATTATTGTAATGGTTTCTTACTATTGATATTGTTATGAAAATTAATATTATTAATGATTAACAACTATTATGGTTTGTCTTGTTTTATTTCAGATATTTGGCCCATGGTATGTCATTCCGCAGTTTGGCTCACTCTTTTCGTTTAGGAGTCACTACGATAGCATCATGTGTTCATGACACTTGTGCAGCAGTGTCCGCGATTTTGGGACCCCTCCATTTACCTGTTCCAACTGTTCCAGAACTTGAAGAAGTGGCTCGACTAATGTTTGACAGATGGAACTTTCCAAATTGTGTAGGAGCTGTTGATGGCAAGCACATCCGCATTCAGTGCCCTGCGCACAGTGGAACTATGTTCTTTAACTACAAGAAATTTTTTTCTATTTGTTTGTTAGCAGTTGCTGACGCTAACTACAAGTTCCTAACAGTTGATATTGGCGCTTACGGCAAGCAGTCAGATGGAGGAACATTTCGAGAAACCAAATTATGCAAAAATCTCATGACTGTTCCGCACAATTGGCCAAAACCTAAGGAAATTCCTGGAACCACAACTTACGCCCCTTTTGTATTGGTAGGGGACGAAGCTTTTCCTCTAATGGAGAATTTGATGCGCCCGTTTCCTGGCACGGCACTGACTGAAGATCGAAGGAGATTCAACAAGAGGTTATCAAGAAGTAGAACAGTCGTGGAACGTGCCTTCGGAATTATGACCAACAAATGGCGGATTCTTCGGAAGGAAATAGAAACATCCGTACAACATGCAGATCACATTGTTCACTGCATATGTGTCCTACACAATATTGTCATCGATAAAGATGGGCCACCGATCGCTACTTTGTTGGAACTGGAGCAGGAGATACCATTCCTCCTCAGTAGCTTCCAAAATGACCGGTCAAACAGCAGTGCTCCCAGAAACGCAACAAATGTGCGAGAGGCATTTAAAACCTACTTCAATAATAATCCAATGTAATTAATTAATATTTCAGATGACCATGTAAGGTATCACTACTACAATAGTGAAATACCTATATACTAATTGTCACTGTAAATAATAATACATGCTGAATAAAAGCTACTGCAACTAATTGAATTTTTTTACAAACCTTCAACTTCACATTCTTGAGCTACTTCATTCCACTTGCAGCGGACAACATCCCTATTGTGGTAGTATTTATTCTTTTGGTCCCACAATGCCGGACGTTGATGTACACTATTAATCACTTTTTCTATGTCCATAGTGAATAATTAATTAATTAATTTATTATTTAAAAGGAATTGTACAAAGTAATTAAAAAAAAAAAAAAAACGGAGCATAAAATGGAAATACAGGCTTAAGAACGCTTCAAATCGCAAAGGTGGTTGCGATTGCATCATCCGGCTCGCGTGAACTCGCCTCCGTTCGCTTCGCTCCGCTCGGAGTGGGAACACACATCGCGCCCTCCCATTCAAAAAGCTTACTCGCCCGGCCGTTCGTCTTTTTCGCGCGTAATCGCTAGTCATCGCATCGCTCAGCTTCGCCCCAAATCGCGGGCAGTGGAAACGTACGGTAAGGGTAGCCTCCTCAAGCAGGCGCTGATGAATCTGCGAGGATAAAAGCCCGTTTATAAACGTATCGCGTATATAAAGATTTCTGTGTTGCTCCGCTGAGACAGCACAGAATTCACAGTCCTTGCTCATAATCTTCAATGTCTGTACGTAACGGTCGATGCTCTCTTCCGTGCTTTGCTTCCGCATAGTCAGCAGATGTCGTGCGAAGATTTCGCTTCTCTTCTTAATGAATGTCTTTAGAGTGTTTATAGCGTCAGAATAGGTCGAACACTTACTTATGATTTCATATACGTTGTAAGAAAGAAAGTTAGCTATCACCAGTTTCATCTTCAGTTTATCGGCGTCCTCCAGACTTTCCTCCGCCGAATCCAGGAAATTCTCAAAGGTAGTCAGCCAGTGAGAGAATTCTTTGTCCGCCGCCGGGGAATCCGGGCTCGCATCGAACCGGTTAGGCTTCAAATATTTTCCCGAGAAGCCGGAGTTTTTTCAAAGTTAATAAAATGGTAATCGAAAAGGAATAATACAAAGAACTCACAATGTAAACCTGAAGTAGGCTTTTATTAACTTTGAAAACATGATGCAGTCTCTTTTGTATAAAAAATTGCATATGTCCTTTTGGAAGTTATCGGTATTAGAAAAAGCTATTTAAATCACCTCACGGATGTCGAAGAGAAAATTAGTAAAACAACGCCAGTAACAGAAAAATATTACACCAGAGGAACCAAAAAACTGGTAGAATTACATGTGGGTGATGAAGTCTACATCCAATACCCAAATCAAGAGGATTGGAACAAAGGGGTTATAAAGAATAAACTTGGTATCTCACGTTCATTCATTGTTAAGGACCTTATAACTGGCCAGCTAATTTGAAGGAATAGGATACATTTACGAAAAGCAAATACAACATGGAGCAGGAAAGTTCAAGAATTACCAAATGATATTGATGAAGAAGGGAGACGTAATCAAACAAGACAAAGAAAACTGCCAAACTATTTAAAGGACTAGGAAATGGACTAACGACTAATTCATCAAAAAGTCCATAAATTAATTCTAAATATATATGGGTGGGTTGCTGACGGGGGGGGTCAAGAAAGTGCACAGGGCAAGTTGTGCCCCGGACTGGGGGGAAGATGCGGACTTTCAACGGCCCCACCAGGGAATGTAAGTGGTTTTTATCCGAATCGGGGTGGTATTGCCCAAATGTCTATAATTAATAGGTACACTTCGGCCGACCGCTCGGCGGTGGCCTGGGCTGGCCTGTTCTGGTTCCATTCTGGCGGGATCTTGGACTTGGACACTACTCACGGGATTGCCCTTCAAATATCTGAGAATCCGCTTTGCCGTTTTCCAATGAACTTCGGTGTAGTTATTGTTGAACTGGCTGAGGTAGTTCACAGCAAAGGTGATGTCTGGTCTGGTTCCAACAGATAAATACATTAATGAGCCGATGAGCGATTGAAAAGGATACCTCTTCATTAGATCTAAATTTGGAGTTTCTTCCTTTTGGAGTTTGGAATCGCAGTCAAGGGGTGTACTGACAGGTTTGCAATCTTCCATGTTGTACCTCAATTTCTATGTTGCTTTGGTAGTTCGAATGTACCGTCTGTTCGTCAGTTTCTTCTTCGATCATTTCTACGTCACTATCGTCCGGTGGGTTTGCTACTATTGAAGTCATATCTATGTCCGGATTTGGGTTGGTCAGCTCCGCAATAATTTCGTTTATTTGTTCGTTTGGCGAGTTTGCGTTTCTGTCTTCTAACACTTCTGTTAAGATTTCATCTAAGTCTAGAGTTCGTGAACGTGAAATCTCGGGTTTGAGAGAGTTTCCTTCGTTTATGTGTATTTGTATTCTAGATAGAGCGTCTGCGTTAGAATTCATTTGTCCTTTTTTGTATTTAATTTAGTTTTAGTCTCCATCTCAGTAGTTTTGATGTAGGGTCTTTCAGAGAAAAGCCACTGTAATGGTTTATGGTCGGATAGAATAAGGAATTTTTTTCCATGTAGGTAGGGTCTGAAGTATTTTACTGTCCATACAATAGCGAGTAGTTCTCGTTCTATTGTGGATAAATTTGTTTCGGTGTCTGAAAGTGTTCTGCTGGCATATGCTTCAGGTAAGTCTGACCCGTCGAAGTCTTGGCTCAACGCAGCGCCAATGGCGATGTTGCTAGCGTCAGTAGTCAAATGGAACGTTTTGGTAAAGTCTGGGTATTTTAGGATAGGTTCTTTAGTGACTGGGACTTTGTGGCCCTGAAAAGGGCCGGTGTTGTGTAGAGTCGGCGTGCCGATGAATCGAGGCCGTGACCGTGTGCGTGGCACCGTTGGTGGTGGTCTGTGACCATGAGTCTACCGTTGGCTGAGGTCCAGGGGCCGTGACTCCATAGAGGCCGAAGGTTTTGGGATGCAGCGATTAGCCGAGAGCAGCGTTTGGCGTTTATAGCCAAGTCGGCTGTTAGAAGGCGAGATCAGGCTGATGCAGCGAGTACTTGCTGTCGTCGACGGTGTTCCTTTGGTGAGATCTCGTCAAGTTGACGAGTTGGTTACATTAGTGATGTATGAGATCTCGTCGGGTTGACGAGTCTGGTCCAGAGAGGCAGAGCCCTTGCTTATATAGGAAAGACTCCTATTGGCTGCAGAGTGAAGGGCGAGAACATTCTATAAGTCGTAGTGGCATCTAGCGGTAACTTGTGGTAGCTACAAGTGGCCACTACAGGTCCGTTGATTAGTAAATTTTTGCATATATTAAATGTTTCCTGTCGATATTCCTGGTCGTGTATGTCTATTTTTGCGCTTTTTTTTAACATTTTGTTAATGGTTTCGTCAGTGTGCGAAGTTCGGGTGAATTTTCTGTAACACCCTAGTAGACCGAGAAATCCTTTTACTTGTTTGGTCGTTTTGGGGAGGGGGTAGTTTTTTATTGCACTTATCTTGTCGGGGTTAGGTTTGACTCCTTCTTCTGTCACAATATGTCCTAGATAGGCGACTTGGTGTTTTAGAAATTCGGTTTTGTCTAATTGGACAATTTGGGTCCCGTAACCGTTGGAAGTACTTGTCGTAGTCTGTGTATATGTTCTTGTAAGCTTGTGCTGGATACAATTATGTCGTCTAAGTATACTGTGCATATCCTGTTGTTTAGTCCACGTAATATGTGATCCATCGTTCTTTGGAATGTCCTCGGGGCGTTTTTTAGTCCGAAAGGCATTCGGAGGAATTCGTATAGTCCACTTTCTGTTGCAAATGCTGTCTTTTGTATACTGTTTTCGTCCGTTTCGATTTGGTGAAAACCCGATGCAAGGTCAATTGTAAAATAATTACATCGACCTAACTTGTCGAATAGGTCTGTTATGTTTGGTATCGGATATTTGTCTTCGACAGTTTTTCGTTGAGCTTGCGGTAATCGATGACTAGGCGCCATTTTTTTCGTCCAGAGTCAAGTTTTTTTGGGACGACCCAAGCCGGGCTGAGTATGGGGAAAATGACCATCTTATTATATTTTGTATTAACATTTTTTCGATTTGGTTATTTACTTCATCTTTAAATATTTGCGGGTATCTGTAGATTTTAGAGTAGACGGGTATTTCATCTGTGGTTCGGATTTTGTGCCTAATCTGATTTGTGAATGTTAATTTGTCTCCGACTAAGTAAAAAATGTCAGATAATTCTTTTACTAGGTTTGTTATGGCATTTTTTCCTTCGACATTTAAGTGTTCTGTTCGAATTTTATTGGTGACAAATTTTTCTTTGTTTTGGGTCATCAAATTGAAATTGTTAGTCCCTTTTTGTATAATGAAGTCATTGATGTCAACCGTAATCGAGTGCTCTAACTTTATTTCCATATCCTTTTCTGTGTCGTTTTTTACCACACAAAGAGCTGTGCTATTTTTTATATTTATCAAACCCTCAGGGAGGGGGACTGCGGTAGCCGAGTGGTTAGCACGAGAAACTCTCACGCCGCGGTCGTGGGTTCGATTCCCACCGTCCCTTCTGGCCCTTTTTTCACGATAAACCCCCCCCCCAATTTGAATACACATATAAGAATTGTCACCATGGCTAATATGCATAGATCATAACGCCAAAAAAAAACCTCAGGGATTTCTAATTCATTTATTTTAATATTTCTCAATAATGCTTGTCCGTTGCAGACATTTTTTATTTTAATGGGGATGATTTTTTCGGAATTTGCCTCTATTAACAATCCAGTTTGTGTGATTTCTGGGTCGAATCGGATTGTTCCAGGCATCATTCAAAGTTTTTATATAAGTAATTTCGGATTCTTTCCCCTGTATCTTTATTTTATTTTTGGAAAGATCAATTTTCGCTTTTAGAATTTTAATATTGTCTGTCCCTAGTAATAGGTCAAACTTTGGGTGAAAATTAAACAAACAGAATTCAAGGTCTGATTTCTCAGCGATTGAGAGATCGTTTGAATTCAGAAGTCTCGAATAGCCATGAGTGGTGATCACTTCAAATGGCTTATATTTTATTTTAGTGTTGAAATTTTTTTTTGTTGGTATTTCTGGATTTATGAACGATCTCGTAC